AGTGTGCGTCGACTTCACTGATTTGAACAAGGCTTGTCCAAAAGACATGTTTCCAATGCCACATATCGACGTCCTCGCAGATGCCACAGCGGGACATGAGATGTTGACATTCATGGACGCTTTCAGTGGCTACCATCAGATTCAATTACACCCTGACGACCTGGAGAAGACCGCATTCATCACTGAGACAGGTACATATTGTTATATTGTTATGCCATTCGGTCTAAAGAATGCAGGAGCCACTTTCCAAAGGTTGGTGACGATGATCTTCAAAGAGCAACTCGAGAAAACTATGGAGGTTTACATCGACGACATGTTGGTCAAATCCAAAAAAGCATCAGACCACATTGATCATCTGCGAGTATCATTCCTGAAGTTGCACAAATACAACCTAAAACTGAATCCAGCCAAATGCACATTTGGAGTGTCGTCAGGAGAATTTTTGGGTTATATCGTCAGCGAGAGGGGGATAGAAGCTAGCCCGGGGCAGGTCCGAGCCATACTCGACATTGAATCTCCCAAGTCGATCAAAGATGTCCAGAGGTTGACGGGACGAGTTGCGGCGCTCAACAGATTCATATCAAAGTCGTCAGACAGGTGTCGACTTTTCTATGATGTCCTCAGAAAAAATAGAAAATTCGAATGGACAAGACAACACGAAAAAGCTCTACAACAGTTGAAGGAGTACATGACGACACCGCCATTACTGACAAAGCCTAAAGATGGGGAGGAACTACAGATGTATCTAGCAGTGTCGGAGCATGCTGTCAGTGCAGTCTTGACCCGGGAAGAAGACGGCCAACAAACGCCAGTTTATTACATAAGTAAGTCATTAAGTGGGCCGGAAGCCAGGTACGCACTCTTAGAAAAATTGGTACTTGCACTAGTCACAGCATCAATTAAATTGCGTCCTTATTTTGAATCACATTCTATTTGTGTTCGAACTAACTATCCCATGAAGTCGATCATGAGGAAACCAGAACTGACAGGTCGAATGATCAAATGGTCAATACAGCTGGGGGCATACGACATCAAGTATGAGCCCAGGACGGCTTTGAAATCACAGGCTCTAGCTGATTTTGTGGCGGATTTCAGTCCCAAACTACAAGTAGAAGCTGAAAAGGAGAATGTGCCTGTTGATTGAGGATCCACAACAACAAAAATGGATCTTGCACACCGACAGAGCCTCAAACATGCAAGGAGCCGGACTTGGAGTTATACTGAAATCACCACAAGGGGGCAACATAGTGCAAGCTGTCAGATGTGATTTCAACGCAACAAACAACGAAGCGGAGTATGAGGCACTGATCTTCGGGCTAAACTTAGCTCGAAACCTGGGCATAAAAACAATTGAGGTAAAATGTGATTCCCTTTTAATTGTTAATCAGACTAACGGGGTTTATGCAGCCAAGGACCCGAAGATGACGACATACCTACAAGTCGTCACCAACTTGAGCAGCTATTTTGACGACATCACTTTTGAGCAAATCCCGAGGGAGGAGAATGTTCAAGCTGATGCCTTGGCAGCGGTAGGGTCATGTCTCGGAACGGTAAGCAATGACAACATCCCACTTGTACACTTGACAGAGCCGGCTATTAAACAATCGAAGATGCTCAACATCGTTGAGTCAACCGCAGACATCGATTGGATGCAGCCATATATAGATTATCTCAAACATAACGTCCTACCAACTGACAAAAGAGAAGCAAGGGCACTCTTATCAAAGGTAACAAAGTTTTTATTGATTGATGATGTCCTGTTTAAGCGTTCAAAGGCAGGACCATATCAAAGGTGCTTAGCCCCACCTGAAGCTGTCAAAGTACTTGCAAGCCTCCATCAAGGAGAGTGTGGCAACCACGCAGCAGGAAGAAGTCTGTCTAACAAAGCCTTGAGGTTTGGTTATTATTGGCCAACGATGAGGCGTGATGCGGTCGCATACACTCAAGCTTGTCAACCATGCCAAAGACATGCACCAGTACACCACCAGCATGCAGAAGCACTACATCCTGTCCTATCCCCATGGCCCTTCATGAAGTGGGGTATGGACATCGTAGGGAAGCTGCCCGAAGCACCCGGACAAAAAGTATACATGTTGGCGATGACTGACTACTTCTCAAAATGGATTGAAGCTGAACCTTTCCGACAGATCCGCGATACTCAGGTAATATCTTTTATCAAAAGAAATATTTTGAGCAGGTTTGGAATCCCGTCGGAGATCGCCTGCGATAATGGGTCACAGTTCATCAGCATCAAAACCAGACGATTCTGTGAAAGGTACAACATCAAACTGGAGATGTCGACATCACGGTATCCGCAGTCAAACGGACAAGCTGAGTCAAGCAACAAGATCATCATCTCTAATCTAAAGAAACGGTTAGAGAAAGCACAAGGAAGGTGGGCCGACGAGTTACCACTTATATTATGGGCAGACCGGACGACACCAAAAAATGCCACTGGACAAACGCCTTTTTCATTGGTATACGGATTCGAAGCTGTCATTCCAGTCGAGGTTGAGGTGCCAACATCCAGATACGGACTTATCACAGAGGAGGCAAAGAACGCAGAACTGATTCATGATCTTGACACTATCGATGAATTGAGGGGAAAAGCTAAAATACAAATGGCAGCTTAACAACAAAGAGTTGCAAAAAGCTACAACAAAGATGTTCGAGCCAAAATATTCAAGAAAGGCGATTGGGTACTCAGAAAATCCTTCGGCAACGAAGCAAGTGGGAAGTTTAGTCCCAACTGGGAGGGCCCATATCAGATTACAGATGTCGTCGGACAGGGGGCATATCGCTTAACAAGCATCGACGATAAGCAGGTGCCAAGGAGCTGGAATGCGGTACATCTAAAACCCTTTCATTTTTAATCATTTGTGAAAGTATTCATCACATTATCATCCTACTAACTTGACCGTCGGAGGGCCGTTGGCCTCGAGTCAACGGCCAAAGAAGTTTTTGACAAATCTACAGACTGACGACATCAAGATAATTCCTGAAAGACAACACCATGCGAACTTCTGGTGACAACGTCATTTCAATACAACGTAATTAAGGTACGCGAAAACGGTTTGTTCTCTCATCATTTCAATATCATCCTCACTCACTTTGACTAATAAGAGCACATTTGACTCCTTGGAGATAACAAGCACACATAGCTGATGGTAGACAATTTTCTTTCTATTTCATCATTCAAGATTGCTAACTTTAGCATCGGAGGGCCGTTGGCTCCAAGCCAACGGCCAGCCCCTGACAAATTTTTTGATTAAGTTGCAGACCAAAAGCGGCATACCAATTGCTAGTTGAAATCAAGTGATGAATGATGATGTGACGACCCCAAATCAAATTCAGGTCAACGACATTACGTCAGCAGAGACCGCCCGGTCAGCGCAGATGACTTAATGAGGAGGCAGATAAATCATAGAGGTATACAACCACGGTCGGCTCATCCCTCACTTCAATGTTTCTTCATTAATACTTTCATTTTGACAAAACACAAAAACACCTAATTTCTCTTGAAACATCAAGTGAAGATAACATATTTTACTAGTAGCTTCACGAAGTTAAAGAGCATTTTTCAATACATACTTACTGACTTTGACATCGGAGAGCCATTGACCTGAAGTCAACGACCAAGATTGTTATATTAAATAGGCACAAATACTTTGACAACATACGCATGCCAGCATCGTCAGTAGCTGCCCACATCAATCAGCCCTTGTAATGACAACACAGTCCTCAATTACATCACAAGAAGACACTAAGGATTGCATGGGTTCATCATATAAGAAATATGAATACCGAATCCATACACCTTTCACGTTTTGGCCAAAACAAACATACAACGTACATCACAAAGTCACGCAACAACAGACTGTATACATTAGCACATTCTACACACTGACAACATCAAAAAGTCAGGCAAACACAGGACAGTAGACAAACAAGATCATACGTCACGAATGCTGACGACATCAAAGTCAAATAAACACAAACAAGTACATCAATTTACACATAAAAGGAAAGGCAATACCTACATAAGTATACCAGCCAAAACATAGTGACAAAATGAACAAGTTCTGGATAAACCACCAGATACTTGTATAAGTAATCAAGTATTCGATCCACCGAACCACCGGATAAACCACCGGGCGATGTGGTTGGCACCAAAGCTTAACAAAAAAAAAATGTTCGAACGAAACAAAAAATACTTAAGCGTGATAACAATAGTTTGAGCATGACAGAAAAGAATTAAGACTTGGGAGCCGACTCGGCCTCGGTATTGCAATGTCCTAGATCGAAGTCGTCATCACCAACGGGGGGTTCTTCATCAGCAAAGTTGGCCTCCCAAGTATCTATATCTTCCTGAGGCCTCCAGCTGCCTGATTCACCAGCAAGGAATGACGTCATAAGATGCCTTCTTGTTTTCCAGGTGTAATACCCAGCTGCCTCAACAACTTCCTGCCTCTTCCTTCTGCCATATTCTTTTAAGGAGGCAATCCTGGCATCCTTAGCCGCCAGCATGCCGGATAGCTTATCAATTTTGCGAGCATGGGACATGACTGTCCCCTCTAAGGATAGTTTGGCAGCATCAACTTCGGTCAGTTTCATCTTTGCCTCTTCTTCACTCTGTTTAGATTTTTGCAGTTCATCAGTGAGCAGTTGGACACGCTTAGCAGTCACCAAATTAGCTTGGACCACCTGAAACAAGTGATTGTTATTAGGAAGTACGAATCCTAGGGTCACTAAGATACATTTTCATTAAGCAAACCTGGAAAGCAAATGCAGACGAGGCTGTCATAACTTCAACATCATTGAAGCCCGCAAAGGCATCAAGTGCGGAAGGGAGCAGAATCTGTGCCATTTCGTTTTTCATTGATAAAGCGTTGTCCAATCGGCAAAAGTTGGCAGAGAAATCAGCTTTGAGAGTTGTCTCTTGTGCACCATCATTCGAACTTGGAGCCATAGCAGGAAGCGAACAAGTTGTCGTAGCAATGGAAGGAGTCACTGGGGGGAGCGGAGGCATCAACCTTCTCTTCTTGGACTTCAAATGCAAGAGTTTAGTAGGGTCAAGAACCTTACGAACCCCTGATGAAGATGAAGTGCCTAAGTATCAAAAGGCATCAGAACGCAACAAAGTAAGAAACGAAATCATAAGTAATGACAAATTGACCAAATGCTTACCAGCAGCCGATTTCAGAGTAAGGTTGGGGGCGTTACGCATGGACGAAGCGCATTCAGTTACAGCAGGCAAGGTGAAAACGTCGTCAGTAACACTTGTAGTATCGTCTTCGCCATTGTCAGTACTATCAGTTGATACAACTGAGGCATCTTGAAACGAGCTAGGAGACTTAGATATGTTTTGGACAGAACGCCTCAATCCAACACGAATGGGACTTATAGAAGGTGAATAAATAGCCATACCTCTGAATTCCTTTTTGAGATTCGAGTAAAGACGAGTCTCGGGGGACAAAGCCAAGAATGCATTGGTCCTCTCCTCAGAATGGGGACCAAATTCCATAGGGATCGTCTTCCCTTCCTTCTCTCCAGCCTTTGCTTCTTTTCCTTTCGCTTTCACTTTCACTTCACCCACTATGAAAGCAAAAGAAAACAAAGACAAGAAGGTACGCTCAGAAGCAGCTAATCAAAGTAGTGAAAGCAACTGAACACACTTGACAACAAGCGTCAGAAGAATGTATAAATAACGAAGAACAACAGGTTGGTACATACCGGGTTCACCAACAAACCTCAGACGATCAGGGAAAGAGAATACATGTTCTCCCAAGGACGTCTTCTCCACAAAGAAGAATTTGGTAATCCAACCTCGGTCATTAGCACTGTTGATCCCCAGAATGATGTGGTCAACACCAGCTTTTGTCACTAAAGTGAATCGTCCTCTTCCAGAGGTTCTCAGGTCGTATGTAAAACTCAAATCTTCCGCAGAGTATTGAAGGTTATACTTCTCAATCAGGTACTCCAAAGAACGAAGAAGCCGCCAGGCTTGGGGCATAATTTGACAAGGAGAGATTTGGGCACGGACGATGAAACCCTTTACAAGATTGGAGAAGGGGAAGCGGACTCCGAGCTTTTCGAACCGGTACTGATAGAAGTTGAGCCATCCTGGAGAGACCCAGTAGACCCTTTCGCCACGAGCAGGGAATCGTATTTGTGCAGAGGGAGGAAATCCATAGGCGGACCGAATCTCTTCCAAATCTTTTGACCGCAAGTCAGCCGTCCTAAGATTCTTCGTTTCAAAGACGCCTTGACTCCGGAAGACAGCAGGCTCCATGGCGAGAGGTATCAAGAGGTCAGATAGAAGACGAGTAAAGGGTAGGAGAATGGTAATGGAAGAAGAGCAGAAGCGGAGGCTTTATCAGTTTGATAGAGACGAAACAGTCCCTCGGGCAGTGGGAAGCCGGTTGAGTATCCAATACAAATTTAAATTCATAATGGTGGCTCATCACACGCGTTCAAACCCGCCAACATCATGAATGGGGGCAAATGTTGGGCCAGAGAAATATCCCCTCAAACGGGCCCGTGGGTATGGCAAAATAAAGTGTTTCAAGCGGCCCAAAAGAGAGTCGAAACCCTTCAACAAATTATGGAGAGATATTTGAAATTAGAGATAAGATTTGAGGAGGAGTCCAAGAACAAGTCAATAGGAGAGTGGCTGCACGTGGAGAGAAAGTAGGAAAGCAGTTGCTACACTTGGGGAGAAAGCAAATTCATTTGTTTAAATAGACTAGATGCATCCCTTTGTAAAACACGTTGATACTATACGCTTACTATCCATACTACACACATTACTCAATACTCTGTATTTAAAGTCATCGGCTAAACACAATAGCCTAATAATATACCATTTCGATTTAGCATTCATTCGTCCTTATTGATTCTTGTTTGCTTGATTCCCAATATAGCTTTATTTTAGATCGAATTATTTCTTGTACAAACAGGCGGCAGGGTAAAAATATACATACAAATACTTACTCCCTCCGTATCATATATATCTTCCCACTTCTAAAGTGGGTGAGATTAAGAATAGTGAAAGGAGATATAAATTATTGAGGGTATGATGGGAAGATGGTGAAATAATGTGATGGAATGAAGGATAAATCCAAAAAAAGTAGGTGTAATAGTGTATTATTTTTTAAATTATTGAGGGTATGATGGGAAGATTTAGAAATGAGAAGATATAAATGTTACGTCCAAAAGAGGAAAGTGGGAAGATATAAATGTTACCGAGGGAGTATATATTAAAATTTCGGGGTAAATATGCCTAGGAAAATAAATTTTTGGGGGGACAGCAGCCCCCATTTGCCCCCATGCTCGGTCCGCCATTGCAAACAGACCCTCAGATTTTAGTGTAACTAAATTTAGGCTGTTAGCAATAACAAAAGTAAACGATACTCTCACCCGTTAACATTTTCTCATTTTTTACCCTTTCGGAAAATTCCACTAAAATGGTCTCATACCGAATTTGGTAAAATTTGTGTCACTCTAAATCATTTTTACTTTCTCAATTAATATCAACCACATAAATTCACTTCTCTTAATGACTGTGTCACCCCATTTCGTCCCAATATTAGTGGGACGCAGGTAGTACTGGATGTAGTACTGAACAACATTAGTAACAAAGAGTATAATTAGAGATGGGGTTTTAAACACTATAGTCATGAGCTCATTTGATCCCGTTTTTTGGCTTATCAGCATTATCAAACAAATTTTTCATCAAACACTTAATCTTTGATTTTGCGCATCCAGTTGTGTGATAATCAAAATAAATAAGGTTGAAGTTAATTTTCTGGTTTGATTGAATGAAGTTATTATAAAAAATCATTTTGTCTATTTTCTCATATGATAATATTCTTCATTTTATTAGTACAATATATTTTAAACATAACCTTTTCATAATTAGCAGAATCGATCCAATTAGTGCAACCTAAACTTCATAAGTATACCGACCGGGACACTTATAGGAGCTCCCGTATCAATCACTTCCATCCCTCTCATTAGACATTAGACCATCTGTGTCACTCATAGCTACAGCTCGAACTCGATTATTTCCCAAACATATGGAATTGTTCCCCTATAATCTAAAGAAAGCTGGAGACTTGTCCATTAAGCCCCTCCGAATAGGGTCTTTCATCCGACGACGTAGAAGCAGTTCTTTCTCCCTGTTCATACATGTTCTATTTTTTCTTGTAGCTTTTGTTTGGCAGGCTGTTGTTAGTTTTCGATGAAATACTTAATTAAAAAATTGAGTCAAATAAGAAATTCCTTGCTTTACTAGGATTAGGACCATTCCCCATATTTAATTCGGCAAATTGGAGTTATCGAGTTATTAGTTTAGGGTTTATCTTTTTAACCATAGGAATACTTTCGGGGGCTTTGTGGGCGAACAAGTGTGGGGATCTTATTGGAGTTCTCATGGTAGCCTACTCTAGTCCCCTTAGGAAACTTACGTTATTGGGTAAGTCATTCACTTCATAGGCAGTATGACTGCCTTAACTATAGTAGAAACGCAATCGGGAGATGTTTCTGCTTGTCGAATCCGAGTTTGCAGCTCCAACCATTACCAAACTAATACCAATTCCGTTTAGTACTTCGGGGGTTCCTTTAGTTTAATCAATATGAGCATCCTCTATTGATCAAATATTATTTTTGAAAAGATCTATATAATGAACATAGTGATATAAAGAGTACCATATAGTGCCATTATTCCGACTTCTGCAGCTATAGGTTTACACTTTTACCCAATATGGGAAGCGGCATCCGTTGATGAATGGTTATATATATGATACGTAGTATTACTTAGGGCTTGTTTGCAATTACTTAAGAAAAGGGATTTTGGATTTTTTTTTAAGAAAAAAACACTTATTTTACCAAACACTATCAACTTTTATTATCTCGGTTTTCGTGTAGAATCTACTTTTTACTTTTTCTATTACACAAAAAAACACTTATTTTACTAAACACTACCAACTTTTATTACTAATCACTTTTTTCTCCTAAAAGTACTTTTATTTAAGCATAAATGGTTGGAAAGAAAGGAATTCATATTTCATTAAAGTCGTAAAGGAATCCTATGATAAAAGAGTAAAACTTACGTATTTACGTACTCCGTATCATACGGAGTATATTTCATGATTTTTGACCTTAAATAAGAGTAGGTCCTCAAATTGCATATTTTCACAAGTTAAACTCAGAAGTAATTATAATACGGAGTACATTTTTTTTTATCGTACGGAGTACATTATTTTGTAACATGACATTAATCTTACTGACACTCTAAATTTTTAATTGGACGAAATGAACACAATTATCACCATTTTGGTCAGTTTTGAGCTTTGAGCTGCCACTGACGTCTGACGGTCCTCATCTTCAGTCACTGAAATTGGGAGTTTTGTTGTTTCTTTCTTCTTGTACTCTTAATATTTTAGTAAAAAAATTAAAAAATCGAAAAAAAATTAAAATGAGAAGAATTCAGTAGAAAAAAAAACAGAAAATATATTTCTAATACATTATTAAATAAAATGTAGTTAAAGAAAGTAAAATTTAACTTGTTTTTATTTGCAAAACGGAGATGGTATGTACCGAATGTACTCTAGTAGTCTACCTAATTTTTAAAAAATTGTATTTTCCGATCTTTTTTAATATATTATCCTTTTATCCAAAACTATGCCAGCCAGCCAAATTAAGGGAGTGTTTGTGATTACTTGTGCTTTTTAAAAGTGATTTTTTAAGAGATTATTGAAAAAGTGATTTGTAGTAAAAGTAGGTAGTATTTGGAAATAGAAGTAATTTTAATTAAAATGTAAAAGTTGGAGTGTTTGATAAAAAAGTGATTTTAGATGTAATATTTTGTTGAAGTACAATAATACCCTTGCACCCACCAACAATTTTTAACCCCATTGCACCAGATCGGCAGATCCATAATAGTTCCTCCATCTTCTTTCAAATTGAAGTTTCGGTTTCAGTTTACTGGTAAAACAAACAATTCCAAACAGCTTTGCATCCGTAAGAACATTCATAACTTGATTACTTGGACAGATTGCATCACATGTAAATCCACCAATTCACCCTCACTCAGTTGATTCTGAAAAACAAGGAACATAGACATCTCCACTAGATAATATACACATAGATATAAAGCTACGGAGCAGAGCATGGTTTATAGAGGACAATAAACTCCGAAGAAAATAATAAAATCTGAAATTCAATAAAATTAAATGAACAGAAAAAAGAAAAATAGCAGTTACAAATAGACCTTACATGGACGCCGGTTTAGATGGTGCAACAATTTTAGGCTTGGAATTTGAACTTCCCCATCACTTGCTTAGCTCTCATAGATGGATAGGGAGGGATGAAGCTCTTGGGGGGAAGGACGTGTTGAGATATCGGCGACGAAAGCTAAGGGTAGAGTTGGTATAAGGATAGATAGGTTGGGTTATTATTATCCTTGGGTTGCAAATATTTACCAAAAAAACCCAGAAGCTATTAAAAGCAACTAGAAGCTGGCATATCATAGCTTCTACTTTTCAACTTAAAAATACTTTTTTTTAAAGTAGAAATTGTCATTACCAAACACTTTTTACAGCTTTTTTTAGTCTAAAAGCTCTAGAGTGCTTTTTCTAACCAAACAAAACACTCCCTAAACCCCTTCAAAATCCTCATTGCCCAAGCAAACTTAGGCCCTCTTTACTTTCAACTTAATGGGCTGAATAGAAAAGTGGCTTAATCATTCAGTTATATAATGTTGTTTACTTAGGACTTAATTTTTAATGTGTCTTATTCGCTCAGTCATTTTATGACTTATTGGTTCAGCTCCATTTTAATACTCCTTAGCATTCAGACGTGTTTTTGTTAAGGGATTGCCTTCTTTAACCCTGGCTTCTCGTTCAAATATTTCATCGCATACACAACAACAGTCGACTTTGAACATAGCCGCTTCCAGCAACTTCCGAGCTAGCGCCGCTCCTAGCAACTCCAAGCTAGTGAAGCTACCATGGAAGCAACGAAGAGAAATCTCAACCCCGCCTTCTTCATCTAGGTATTCATCTGATTTTTTATATTTTTTGTTCTCCTTTTCTCTCCTTATGGTAAAATCGCTATATTCTGATAGTTCTATAAAATTTCTTAAATTCAACTCAATCTAGATATGCCATATTCTTAAACACGAAGTTGTATGATCGAATTTCTTTTATCATATGTGATATTTTGATTTTCTTTTTGGGATGTTGATACACCATCTATTCTTAGGTATACACCGTGAGTTTTTATGTCTTCCGAACACTGATTTTTTTATTGTTGATTCATTGTTTATTTTTTCCCCATTATTGAGGCAGATTTTATTTGTTGTTAAGGTACGTAATTGCAGATTTTGGTGGCCATAATGTTATTATTACATATACACATATCATTTTATTAATTTGCAGAGTACTTCATGCTATGTTAACTCGTACGGAGTTGTTTGTAGTTATATACAAGTAATACAACTTATATGTTTGATCTACAATTTAGGTGAGTAACTAATTTATATCATTGAATATGATAATTTTTAGTTGTTCTTTACTCTAGTACATGTTCTGCACACCAGAAGCAAGCAGGATTTTGTTAGTTTTAAGTCACGGTTGTTAAGACCTTTTTTTATTCCTTCAATTGTAATTCTCAAGTTTTTTCTGTACTTGTAGAGAAAAGGTGTGCATTATAAGAAAATACAACATTCAAGATAAGTTATTCGATGAGTTGGAGGATAAGACAATATTCAACAATGAAGATGGAGAAAGTAAAGGAAGTGAAGAAGAAATAGATAGAACACAATGGGACACATACAACATAGAGTAAATGACAAATTTATGAGATGTTTTTGCTAATTGAGTAGTAAGAAAAGCCTAAATTTCATATTTTGGCGTAATATTTTTGAATTCCTATGATTGTGTTTTATGAACTTATTTGCTTCGTAAATTGGCATTGTAATAAATTTTATGCAACCAGAACATCGGGATAGATAAAGTAAAGAATGTCCATCACTTGTTACAGACAGAAGGGTAAATTGGGAATTCAATATAATTCAGATTATACATTCAACACACATAGTAAACAGCTTGTTATCCCAGTGACACTAAATCCAGACAGACGTCTTAATACAGACAGACGTCTTAATCCAAACACGACGTAAATACGTAATGGAAATAAAAGTAAACAGCCCCTTAATAGCCCATCATTAATTAAATTAGTGCGTCTACTTTAAGCAGATGCATGTTATAATAATGGGCATCAATGCGCTCTGGGTCAGTGAGAACTAGCTAGCTAGTGATCCTCTTTATTGATTCGCCAGTAAATTAAAGTGCGAAAGCTGGTCGTATACATTAATTAATTCGACGGAAAGAAAAATGTTAACTTTATTCACACCATTTTGGGCAATAATGATGGGTTGTGCACTAATTACGTCATGCTTGTTTGATGTTTCCCTATTTCCAACATTTGTTTATTTGACTAAAAATTCCATTGTTCCCACCGTCTGTTTTGACTCTTGTTGAAAAGGTATGACCCCAGTAAACTTTATATAGTATTCGTCTCATACATTTGTAAAATTAACTTTTCTGGATGAAATGATTTCATTTTATTTACTTAATTAGGATTAGGATGACATTTTTTCAGTTATATTTTAATTTGACTTTCCTTTTTCACTGAATTATCACTGAATTACGGAGTATCTCATTTGACATTTTCACTGAATTATCTTCAAACTTTCCTTTTTCATCCGTCCCAAAATTATCTCATATTTCTCTTTTTGGCAAAGAATTTGTGGTTCACAACCATTCTTACACATTCTTACACATTTCTCTCTCCTCTGCACAACTCTCCAACACACAAATCCACTATCTTAATTTGTGTGAAATGTCAAAGGAGAAGATAATATAGGCGGAGGGACTATAATTTAATTTCCACTTCTTCCGGCCTTGACTCTTGACTTATTCACAGGTTGTAAGAATTTATTTCTGAAAGAAGTATGATGGCATATTATTTTCTTCATAAACTTAAGGTACTAAAACATTGACATTGCATCAAATAAAAAAAGTCATTTCCCATGAAAAGTAAAAAAAAAAACCATCTGTAGCATCAGATTTATGATCTAATGACCATAAATATGTCATAAAATATGCATTAAAGTAGATTAAAAGACAATGGCGTTTTTTAAATAAATCAAAGATTTTATTCTTTCCAAAAAGTGCACCTCATGTATGTAATTTATACGGGGTTTTTTACAATAATATTACTAAAATAAAATATATTTACATAAATATGACTATTCATTACTACAATGTGGTGTTGTGGTAACTTAAGCTCAAAACTTGAACATGAATTACTATGATTTCATTACTACTCTAGTCACTAATCATATTTTTGTAAATTATCTTTATTCTGATCATATTTATGTAATTATTTCTTTATACGGAGTAGTATACTGTATGTGATTGGAAGTGGATACCATGCAGATAAATTTTGGTTTTTAATACCATGTATGTCCAAAAATGTACAAATATTTATAGTATATAACAATGATAGTTAATGAATAAAAGCACACTTATTAGTGTTAAGAAGATTGTCAATTTTTTAAAACCAATGCACCTTTTATTTTGTGTTTAGATACATTTTTTTTATATTCTAGCACACATTTGTTACATCTTTTTCATTAAAAGTTGTTCATAATTACGAAAACGTCACCACCTTTATATCTTAAAATTTGATTTAATTAACCATTTCAAATATTCACATTAATGCCAAAGATTAGCACGGACTATTAATTCTATCTTTGTTGTAATTTCTCGCAACCCATAGCAATAAATTAAAGCTTAATTATATATTAGATCAAATCTTTATTTCTTTAACTTGAAAATGTATGCCAAAGCTATATTCGTGAAAGAACAATCCTTATTGTTTTAGTAAACTCGTGGATAATAATTAGTATCACTAAACTCATGAATCAATGAATCCACAATTATTATTATTGCTACATAGATCCTTTTTTCCCTTCTATTCGTTACAGAAGAATGGTAACAAAAAGACCTAATCCTTGTTAACCCCATACTAAAATGCCATTAGTACAGTGATTGATGATGGAAGGAAGGGAAATGTTATATTACGGAGTACTAAATAATAAAATATAATTTGTTTGTTGTTATATTGTGAGAGTGTTTCGAGCGCACAATTCTCTCATAGGCGCGGTAGAGGCGGTGTAAATGTACGCAAGTTTTGTACGTGGTTGATACACTCACTGATATTCCACAAAGACCACATGCCACTACACCCATAACAAACACAACACCAATTCAGGAGACGGTTAAGAAGAGTGGACGCATAAGGAAGTTACCATCCAGACTAAATGATTTTATTTTGCATTAAATAATGTATTGCAGTTACTAGTATTCGGTTGTTTCTTTCCCTAAGTTCAGTTTATTGTTTAATATATTTAAAGAACCAGAGATATCATCTCCTGGCATGAATGAATTCCTTCTTTTCCTTCCTTGCTAAATCTTCCTGGAGTTGATCCCTTACTCAAAACAGGGACTTCTGATACTGCTTGGGTATCACTGGTGCTTTCATCGACTCCATCAGCCACCATGCCCGACAAAAGCGATTCTCCGTTCGACCCTTCCAACCTTTCTCACCTTTTTGAGAAATTTGAATGCCACCTCTCTGAACAGTTAGCAAATCAAGAAGCCCGACTTCAGAGCCAAATTGAAGAACAGATCCATGCTTTGACCGCCACCTTAGAAGCACGGTTACAGATGTCTTCCGGGAGAGATACAGCACTCCGGGTGGGAGAACCAAGCCGCCACACTCATTCTGGACCATCTGTGATGGGCTTTCCGGTTTGTCTGCCTACTATGAAACTAGATGTTCTCAGGTTTAGTGGTGACGACCCCCAACAATGGATCTTCAACATTCAGGAGTATTTCAATTTTCACAAGACACCAGAAGACCAACGTTTGCAAGTTGCAGGATTCTGTCTGGAAAAGGAGGCGTCTAAATGGTATCGGTGGACAAAGAGAAACAATATGCTCTTTGGATGGCATGACTTCCTCGAAAAATTGCAACAACGATTCAGTACCACTCACTTTGTTGACCATCAAGCTGAGTTGGCAAAATTAACACAAAAGGGAACCGTAATTGACTATCAGGCAGAATTTGAAAGACACATGAACAAGGTGACTGGTATTCAAGAGTCCTTGCTCATTTCATTCTTCATCGGGGGGTTACGGCCGAACTTGAAGCGAGAGTTGTTAATTTCTGCCCCCCAAACACTTTTAGAGGCCTTCAAGTTAGCTAAAGCATTTGAAACACGTCATGAGGACAATTCCGGAGATAACCGCCCCCAAACCAAAGGATGGGCTCTCAAGGAACCCTTCTCTTTCCAGGGACATCCTCCGCAGGGTACCGCACCATCTTCCACCCATGGTAGTCGCACTACTGCTGGAACAGACAGAGGATTGGTTCCTACGCCGTCGCCTTCCATTCGCAAGATGAGTGCAATGGAGGTTCAATCTCGCTGTGAAAAAGGACTTTGTTTTTATTGTGATCAGAAGTATTCTCCGGGTCATAAGTGTTGTAGCAAGCTACAAATCTTGATTGGGGCTGATTGTGAAGATGAGGACCCGAGTCCCAACACATGCGTGTCCGAAGAAACCGATGGGTTGGAAGACATTGAAGGTGATATCTCCATCTTGAACACTCTATCAGGGCAAGGGATCCCGAGATCATTGCGTATTATGGGTCAAGTGAGACAGAAGCCTTGTGTGGTTCTCATCGACAGCGGGAGTACTCACAATTTTATAAACCATCCATCATCGAGAGCCTCCAACTGCCACTCCAAGCAACCAAGCCCTTCCAAGTTTGTATCGGTAACGGGGACACTCTATTATGCCAACACTACTGTCCTAACCTCATGGTGGAGTTACAGGGTACTCAATTTACTATAGATTTAAATGTTCTTCCGATTGCTGGTACAGATTTAGTCTTGGGCTTCGAATGGCTACAAGGATTAGGAACTGTTGCCCATGATTATGCCCGTCTCACTATGAAATTCAAACATGATGGGCAACTCATCACTTTGAAGGGGGGATCGACATCGACCCCTCAACCCATTTCTTTCACCCAACTTGAAGCCATGATCAATTCTAAGAATGTCGCCCAAACATATCTCATGTCTCAGTTATCTCCAACTGAGAGCTCCCTGGAATCTGGTACACCCCTCACCGAACTTCACGCTAATATTTCCACCCCATTTCAAGAGCTTCTGTTAGAATTCTCCGAGGTGTTTTCTGCTCCACACACACCACCTCCAAAATGCCCCTTTGATCACCAAATACATCTCCTGCCAGGAACCAAACCCGTCAATGTTCGTCCCTACCGATACCCCCAGTTTAAAAAAAATGAGATGGAGAAGTTAGTGACTAAAATGTTAGAGCAAGGGATTATTCGCCCAAGTCGCAACCCCTATTCATCACCCGTATTACTGGTTAAGAAAAAGGATGGCACTTATCGATTCCGTGTTGATTATTGATCCCTTAATGCAGTCACTGTTCGCGATAACTTCCCCATCCTTACTAGTGATGAATTGTTTGATGAGTTGGGAGGCTGATGTGAGTTTTCTCGCACTTAAAATAGATCGTAATATAGTGGTGTAAGTACGAGTATCGTCTCCACAGGGACGGACAAAAGGGAATTAAGAATTAACTAAATTCACCGATTAAAAAAAAATAAATAAAAATGCGTCGTGCGAGATTGGTTGCTGGAAAATAAAAATGCGAATAAAACGATTAAACTAGGGGGTTCTTTCTAATTAATGACGAAGGGAACAGGGATTGATTCTGGGGTAACCAGATTTCTGGCAGATCAGGCCTAATTACAAGAAATTAATTTAATTGAGCCTAGCTAATCATTACTAAGTTCTTACCGCTCTCGCGGCGTAGTGTACAATAAATTAGGGGACCAGGCTGATCTCTCATGTGACAGGATCCTAAATTATTGCCAAGACGAGCGAGCTTACGGCCCCTTTAATCGCTACTATTCTCTTAGCGAACGATTAAGTGTATGTGAATGTGTCCTAGAATAAATTAGATCTCTCTTAATTTATTCTACATGCAATTGTAATTCTAGCTGCAGTCTAGGTTACAAGAGATATCAATTAAATTCTTCAAACACAAATTAAACGCCATTCATGCAATTAAAACGAAAAGAATCTAGCCATACATCATGATTAACCCCTTCATCAATCCCAAATCCCTAATTAAACTACTCACAATTCATAATTGAAGAATCAACAGAATTGGGATGAATAGAAATAATTGTCATTAATTAAAAAGATAGAACTTACAAAGAATACCTTAATCTTGAAGAACAAGGCTTGAAAAGCTCTCAAAAATCGAAATACGGTTTATCTCTCTAAGCTCATCAGTCAAAAACAGGCAAAATAGGGGTCTATTTATAGAAAAATCCGAAAACATGCCGAAAATCAGGCCGCGCGGTCGTCCGCACACCGTGCGGGTCACCACGCGGTCACACGCGCGTTTTTCCGTCTTCCGTCTTTCGCTCCGCCCGCGCGGTGTGCGGGCGCCGCACTATACAACCGCGCGGTGTGCGGTTCAGACCCCTCAACTTTTTGCTCTCAGAATCGTCCGCGGGGCGTGCGGAACCGCACCGCGGGGCGCGCGGACTGCTCTAGAACCGTTTTCTTGCTATTTTCTTCCCCATTTGCTCCCGACCGATCCTATCTTCAATCTTCAACCTTCCAAATGCCGAATCTTCTCAACTTTAGCTCAAATGCCGATGTCTGGTCCGATTTCTTTCTTTTCTTCAACGAATGCAAACCAAACTCGGAAAAACCGTGACTTGAGCTAAATAAATACTTTGTGACTCAAATAAATTAGGAAAAGTGACAAAACTCAATCTCAACACGAATCAAATGCGTGTTGAAATACGAACTTATCAGAGGCGCTACTATATTTTCAAAGCTAGATTTGAGGGCAGGTTACCACCAGATTCGTGTGCACCCCCGGGACATTCATAAAACAGCCTTCCACACCCTTGATGGCTACTCTGAATTCTTAGTCATGCCATTTGAGTTAACAAATGCTCCCTCCACTTTTGAGGCAGCTATATATGAACTCCATGCTAGCTCCATTTTTGCGTAAGTTTGCTACGGTCTTCTTTGATGATATTTTGATTTATAACAAAACTACATCTGATCACCTCGATCACCTATGACAAATACTCTCTTGTCTGCTCCATCATAATTTCTATTTGAAAATGTCCAAATGTGCTTTCTGTCAAGAATCAGTGGAATACTTGGGCCATATTATTACTAGGGAAGGAGTTTGTGTTGACCCCAACATAGTCGCAGCCATCAACTCATGGCCCCCTCCAGCCACCTTACGACAACTACGAGGATTTTTGGGACTCGCCGGGTACTACCGTCGATTCATCAAAGGGTATGCCACCATTGCTGCACCACTCAGAGATTTGCTTCGTAAGGATAATTTCTGTTGGACTCCAAGTGCTGCCCAAGCATTCCATGACCTGAAGCATGTCTTGATGGAAGCACCCATAATAAGTTTACCAAACTTCGACTTAGTTTTCGTTCTCGAAACTGATGCATCCAATGTGGGGGTGGGAGCCGTTCTCATGCAAAATGACCACCCAATTTCTTTTTTAGCAAGAAGATCGGGCCCAAGCTCCAAGGAACTTCAACTTATATCAAAGAGCTATATGCCATCACTGCAGCAGTGAAAAAATGGAGGCAATACCTCTTGGGAGCTCCTTACATTATTCGCACTGATCACAGAAGCTTAAAAGAGTTGTTTCGGCAAGTGGTGCTGACCCCGGAGCAACACAAATATGTCCAGAAACTATTGGGCTTTGCTTTCCATATCGAGTACAAACCTGGCAGTGAAAATTCAGCAGCTGATGCACTTTCATGAGTTCAGGAGCAACCCAAACTGCCATTTTTGGCAAGTAGACCAGTTCCGGAATTCTTGGCCATATTACGGGAGGAGAACGAACGCTTGGATGATCTACGACAATTACATCGAAGTATCGATGCAGGAACACTCTCCTCAGACTACTCTCGTAATCATGGTATAATGCTCTTTAAAAGGCGGTATTACCTCAGCCCCAATTCCTCACTGATTGATGATTTGTTACATGATTTTCACTATTCTAAGATGGCGGGGCACGTGGGAGTGAAACGTACTCTGGTCAAGCTAGCTGCAAACTTCTTTTGGCCTCATATGCGTGAGTTAGTGGAAAATTATGTAGCTTCTTGCATTGTTTGCCAGCAGACCAGGTACTTGACCAAGGCCTTAGCTGGTCTTCTGCAGCCCCTCCCTATTCCAGAGCAAGTGTGGAATGAACTTATGATGGATTTCATTACTGGCTTACCCTCATCCCATGGCTTTTCCACCATCATGGTGGTTGTGGATCGCCTAACTTAATATGCCCATTTTGGCGCCCTACCATCCCACTTTAATGCTATTCGGGTAGCTCACTTGTTTGTGGATATGGTGGTTAAACTCCATGGATTTCCAAGCATCATTGTATCAGACCGTGACCTTTTATTCATTAGCAAGTTTTGGCGTAAACTATTTGAACTTAGTGGGTCTAAGTTGAAGCATAGCACCGCTTATCATCCTCAAACTGACGGTCAGTCTGAGGTGGTTAACCGAGGACTGGAACAGTACCTGAGGGCATTCGTTATGGAGGTTCCTAAAACTTGGTTTGAGTTTTTGAGTTGGGCAGAGTTCTGTTACAACACTAGCTACAACGAGAGTATAAAGACAAACCCTTTTCAGGCACTCTATGGTCGTCCCCCGGCCGCCCCTAATACCACGTTATACACCTAATTCTACTGACATTGAGGCTTTGGATTCTTTACTGACCGAGCGAGATCACATCCTTCGTTCATTAAAGGAGGCACTGCATCAAGCTCAAAATCGAATGATCCAAAAGGCCATTCGTCACAGAAGTGAAGTAACTTTTGAGGTTGGTGACTTGGTACTACTGAAGTTGCAGCCCTTCCGTCAGGTTTCCGTTGCTAAGCGTCAATCACATAAACTGTCCAAGCGTTACTATGGTCCATTTAAGGAATTGGAGCGTGTCGGTCAAGTTTCTTATAAACTGGAGCTTCCACCCGGCGCTCGCATTCATCCCGTCTTCCATGTTTCACTACTGCGACCCTTTAAAGGAACTACAGATGAGCAGCTGCCTAATTTGCCTATTGATCTGCTTGAAGACTCTAACCCTCCACCACTTACAGTTTGTGACACCCGTACTATCCTCAAACATGGTCGGCCACACTCTCAAGCCTTGATGCATTGGCCAGGTACTTCCCAGGATGATGTGTCTTGGGTGGATGTGGACACCCTTTCAGCATTATTTCCGAATATACACCTTGAGGACAAGGTTGTTTTTCAAGCACGGGAGCATGATACACTCGCTAATATTCCACAAGGACCACACGCCACTACACCCATAACAAACACAACACCAATTCAGGAGACGGTTAAGAAGAGTGGACGCATAAGGAAGTTACCATCCAAACTAAATGAGTTTATTTTGCATTAAATAATGTATTGCAATTACTAGTAGTCGATTGTTTCTTTCCCTAAGTTCAGTTTATTGTTTATTGTATTTAAAGAACCAAATATAACATCTCCTGGCATGAATGAATTCCTTCTTTTCCTTCCTTGCTAAATCTTCCCGGAGTTGAACCCTTACTCAAAATAGGGACTTCTGATACTGCTTGGGTATCACGTAGTACTACGTATAATTTATGGAACAAAAGTGTTCCGTGCAATTGAGTTTGTACTTTTATATTTATGTAACTGTGTTATATTTTTATGAAAATACGTACTCTTATAAAGTACTCCCTCCGTCCCAAAAACAACTTCCCACTTTCCTTAAATGGATGTCCCAAAATTAACTTCACACTTCAATACTTTCCTTATTTGGCAAATTATCTACATCAAAAAAGTGATAAACAGTGTCAAACAGTGTTTATACAGTGTCAAACAGTGTTTAAACAGTGCCAAACAGTGTTTAAACAGTGCAAAACAGTGCACTCTACAGTAAAGTCAAATTTATTTTCTAAAAGTGTGTGAAAGTCAAACTTCAGGACGGAGGGAGTATAAGAGATGTAAATACATACATGAGCAATATGCATATGTAAATGATATTGCAAATGTTATGAAAATATGTGATTAGCTTGTAAATATAAAGTTATATATGGATACAAAAGCTCGATTTTTTGTGTAAATGACTTCATACAAAATCTAAAGTGTGTGCGTGGGTCAATTATATGTAAGTTATTTTATACAAAATGAAAACTGCGCGTGTTATTGTAAAAGTCAATCACGTTATACCAAAATATAAACTGCGCATGTAAAATATGTAAATATTACATACAGA